GGGGGGGGGGGGGGACGATTCTATTTTGGGGGAAGGGAAGGAGACGATATATATTTATATGTATAGCGTCTTTTGTTAAGACGCTATATATATAACGTTTTAACAAAAGACGCTATAGTTTTCCGCCTAAATTAATTCACATATACTTAACTGGCCAAATGGCCGTTAAGGTATAGCGTCTTTTAAAAAGACGATATATATATATTATGGTCACTAACTTTCTTTTCCACCTATTTTTGTGTCGTGAGTCCAAAAATGTATTATTTTGGTTCCGGACTCTTATTTTATAAAATTTGTACCATATCAATTTTTCGGTTATTCTATTATATATAACCAAAATTAGACTTTTCGAAACCGTCCCAATCATGTCGGTTTCTCTTCGGTATCGGTACGGTTCGATTAATTTTCGGTAATATTTTTTAATATCATGTAAAAGTCACTAGTAGAATTAGAATGCAATAGCATACGTACTTTTATAAGATTTAGCAAAACTCTCTAGATATTTTATATTTTGAAAAGTGATGAATTAAGATAATATGAAATATGGTTAAAGTATAGATCCATCAACTGTTCCACGGCAGTGCAAAAGAAACTAATTAAGCAAATACAAAAAAAAATATAAACCACACAAGTGAAAAGATATTAACCAAGTTGGGATTCAAGAATAAAGTCTATAGAAGATTAAATATTCAAAAAGATAAATCTAAATTATACGAAAGGAAACCTATTCAATACATTGTGGTTTGCTACTCATAATCGCTACAATACCTTGTGTCTTGTTAGTCAATATACTGAAAATAATTTAGTTTCAATAGGAGTAGCATAATAGATTTGAGAATTAGGATTTTGAGTTTACTTACTTGTTGGTTTGTAACTGTTTCATAATTTCAAGGCCCAAAAAAAATTAGTGCTTTATTATTTTTAAACTTAATATATAAATATATTTTTTACATGATAAATTTATTCGGTACGGTTCAGTATTTTTCGGTTTATTTTCATAAAATAAAAAATCTATCCTAATTATCGGTACAGTTATAAATTTATAAAAAAAACTACGATTTTATTAAATGAAACCTAAAAATCGATTCGGTACGATACGGTTTGGTCGGTTTAATTAGTTTTTAAATATCCATTGACACCCCTACTTATCCCTATTAATTATGTGGAAAAGCCACTAGATCGATTTGCTTTTTTCTCGCTCCCACCGATCGGATGGAAATAGATTGTCTATGGGAGATATTCGTATTACTTCGTTTGTATTGGTTTGTACAAGAATGCGCAAGTCCTATATAATATTTAATATATAATATACCATTTCAAATCTTTCGATCATTATGGCCAACTTTTTTCTATGTTCGATGAGTCGGTCTCACAGTCAGTAATACTTATACTATTATGCTTACGAGCCTTTAAGTACTTTTTTTATTTTATTGCAGCTAAGAGCCTGTATTGGCCAAGTTTCTCGGAGGTTAAAAGTACTTTTTTTTTCCCCAAAAAATTTAAGTTGTTTGGCCAAGACGGTGAAGTATTTTTCACCAGCAACAAAAGCAGAAAGTTTTTCTGCTTTTGAGAAGAAACAGAAAATTCTAGCTTCTTCCAAAAAGTAGAAGCAGAAACAGAAAATTAATTTATTCAAAACAAAACTATTTTCACCATAAATTTATATTTTTCAAATTATCCCTCACTGATTTAAGCTTGTTCTTTCATTTTGTTTCTAGTTTTTACCATTCTTTCAAAATTAAAGACATCATATACATGAATCATATTGTAACTTCTCAAAAAAAAATTATTGGCTTTTCTTGTTTTTGATTTTTTCTTTGTGTAATGTCTTGTAATTTTTTAAATTATCTTCTTCTTTTTTCACACTGAAGCAAATTATCTACATCCTTCTTTGGATTATCAATTCTCTTCCTATAAATAATCATTTATAATTTCTCTATTATAGGCTATTAATTCTCGAATCTTTAAAATAATTATCAAATCTAATTTGTGAAAATTACCTGTCAATAGGTAATAAATTTATAATTGCATCGCATAATCTATATATTATTAAAAGAAGAAGAAAAGGCATCCACATTAAACTAAGTGACAGCCTCACAATAGGCCACTTGGTAATTTAGGACAAAGTTAGTTAGATTAGGTAATAATTACTTTTTGAATTTAAATTTAAGAAAAAAATTAAATTATGCATTGAATGCCGTTGATAATTAGTTACTCTTTTTGAATTTAAACATACTTAACTATTGTTTTTTACGAAAATAATAATTTTTTATAATATTTAAAATTATTTCTATTTTACGCTCAATGCCATCTTTTAAGTTTCACACTCAGAATCATCTTGTTACAGCTATACATAATTTCATCCGATAATATTCTTCGACCGATAAGGAATTCAACTATTATGCTAATGAAGACGTTACTGCAGAGATTGAGGAAGGAGATGGGTCTTCTGATATTCCTTTAGAAATGAAAGGGAAGTCTTCTACTTATATGGAGGTGTTGTGTGATAGAATTAGAGATGAAATTGTTGAGAAATGTTATAATGTGTGAGTGACTTTGCTTATTATTTCATGGTGAATTATCAATATATATTAATTTGTGGAATAGACTTCTAATTCATACTGAATGATGTATTTTGATTATTTAAATCATCTTGTAAATAATAAGTAATTATACTAGATAATATTATATGATTTGGTATAACTATATATGTTATATTGATTTAAATATTTAATATGTATGTTTATTTTATTTTTATATTTTAATTAAATAAAATAAAAAATATTAAAAGTCTCTTACGATAAATATTTGAGTTCATTTTTCTCTTTGAAACAATTATAAGACCTTGGTATTATCCTTTTTGGTAATTTGACACTCAAGAGCACTTTTTCGAAAGATTGGTCAAACATAATTTATTTATCAAATGTTGCAAAAAGTACTTCTTAAATGAATTGGCCAAACACAAACAGTTTTTTCCCAAAAATACTTTTGGATAAAGCACTTCTGAAAAAAATACTTTTTTAAAATAAACAATTTTTGACAGCTTGGCCAAACGAGCTCTAAGTCAGCAAACTACTTCTTGCAATGAAAAACTTACTAAATGTAGCTTAAATATCACATGAAGTCATTAAACTATCTTTTGTGGTAAAAAGATTTCTCAACTTTGTCTATGCATCAAACTCCTAATGAGTTTTATATGAAATTTAGGCAAAATTAATCAGTAGCTTTTTGGTTACAAAAAAAATAGTTTAATGACTTTTGTGATAGTCAGTCAAATAAAGTAATTTTCTATTACAGAAATAGTTTAGTAACTTAGGTAATAAAATGGAAGTCGGTGACCATTGACCATCCGAAAAATCTCTTATAGGGAGAGATGTTTATCATATCAAAACTTTCTCCCATTTGTTAAAACAAGTATAAGTATCTGTGTGATGCGAGAAATTTATCGTAGTAAAGGGAAAATTACACGACATATCAAACAATTACACTGTGTTTATCATGCGTAATTATACTTTCAGTAAATTTACCATTCGTAGCTATATTTGAGTTCTAAAATAACAATAGTGGGGTATGGGGAGGTTTGAGTTCTATAGCAAATTCATGAAATAAGAGATTAATTATTTTGAACTAAAACAAGAGTGAAACAAGCTCCCGCCGTTAGTTGGTTAGAGCCTCGCTTAGTTAGTAGATGTAGTTCAACTCTCAACAAGAGCATTTCATTTTTCTGTATTTTTGTATTGCGCATTGGTTGTATTCGTTGCGCGAACTAATACAATCGATACAAGTTATATCCTTTGTATAGACCCTTGTATACAGTCGATACAGGTTGTATCATTTGTATTTCGCCTTGGTTACAGTTGATACATGTTGTCTTCGTTGCGCAAATGAATACAATTGCGCGAACTAATACAATTGATAAAGATTGTATTCGTTGTACCAACAAACACAATTGACCGTAAACCGTAGCTACACATAGTAATTAGCTAAACTATAGTTATTAGGTTCTAAACTATAGTGATTTATAAAAATTTTCTTAAGCAAAGAGAAGAAACCAATCTGGATACCTTTCCGTCACAGTTAATGTTACCAACTTTTTTACTTTTAAAGATGACAGAACGTTCCTTTTATGATAAAACTTTTACCTCTACACAATGCTCCGTCACATTACCAAAATGAGATTCTGTTTATTTTGCAAAAATAAAAAGAAGATAAAAAAGAGAGCAATCAATTTCTAAAGTTGTGAAGGTTTAACTTGTCTATTCATATGGACACTTCGTAAAGATGATTGGCTTATTTTTTAAATCTATTTTCCTTTTTCTACTTGGAGCAATGAAAAGAATATGAATGCACAAATCATAGAGTAATAACAATTACTTTGCCCAAATATAGAGAGACAACAATAGAATGATTACATAACAATTGTAAATTGACAGCCATTCAAAGTTAATGAAGGCAAAAGTTGAACAACTTACACAAAAGGGTACTCAAAATATAAATGAGTCTATAATAATAATAATAATTAATTAATTACTATAAAAGTCAAACCAGTGGTACCTTTTTCTTCTTCTTGTAACACACCCGGTTCGACCCGAATAAGAAAAATTGCACATTTATTCAATTCAAATCCTTTGCTTGGCTCAATCAGCAATTGCCCAAGTCATGTCATTTTCAAAGATCCAGTGACAAACCTCAATCTTCCCGGGTCCCGACCCGAGTGCAACAAATGCTCCATGACTGGGTCCCCATGAAGACGTATCCACATGGCAAATAGCAACTCCATGGTTGATTTTGGCCTTTGAATTCGGGTCCAAAATATCCGCTTCGTAGACCCGAACTTTAGGAACCGAATGGCAGTAATAGAGCAAGTAAGGGAACAAGCTCTGATGACAAGACACTGATTTGGTGACTTTTCCACCGTTGATTCCTTTGACTGATCCTATTATGATATTCTCCTTTGACCCTTTTGTATTCTCAGTTGTTCGAACGACAACGTTTCGGCCCAAAACGGAAGTTGCAAAATCAATCATATCTTCAGCTGAGTTAATACACCGTTTTGTCTCGCCGGCACTCGGTGCTCTTTCACACTCCGTCAAAGCATCGCCGATCATCTTTGCCACCGGAGAATCATCGCCGGCGTGAAAGATTTTCTTCATCTCGCCAATCTTGGAGGTAGAAAATGGTAATTTAGCAGCAATCACCCGGGGCAAAAACGACCTTTTAGGCATCTTATCCTTTATATCTGGCATAGGCATAATTGTACCACTCTTCAACATCTTCTCCCGGAAAAACTTTCCGGGCTCAACCCACCGGTTATTCACCATTTTGCCACCGTTGACCTCGGTCAACGAAGCCAAAACTTGAGATGATTTGTTGTGGTAATTAGAAAATGTGGCAGAATCTTTGACATAATCTTTGAAAGTGTTATTAACCCCATAAGTTTTGAAATTAACTTTTGGGTCGTTAGCACCTTTACCGTAGCCAGTGAATTTATCAGTACCTTCGTTAAAAGATTGACCATAGTTGACAAAATTTGCTTCACCAGCATTTGTATCCTTGATATAGTTCTGAAAATTGTCATCTCCAACATTAGCTTGATCTCTGTAATTAGTAAAAGTCTCAGTTGGACCATTACCACCAGCACCATAGTTCTTGAAATTATTTTCAGGAACATTTCCATTGGTACCATAAGATGTGAAATTTTGGTTGCCACCATTTGCTGTCTGACCATAGTTTGTAAAGGTTGAACCTATAACATTTGTGTCTGTACCATAGCTGGTGAATTTACTATCAGCCCCATTCCCATTTTTGCCATAGTTACTGAAAGATTGGTCACCAGCATTAGCATTTTGTGAGTAGGCAGTAAAATCTTGATTCCGACCGGTAGCTGCGTCGGAATAGGAAGTGAACTTAATATTGGGGACATTCACATTTGGACCGTAGTTTGTGAATTTACCAGTACCCCCAGCAGCATTTGTGCCATAGGTGTTGAAACTTTGGTCAATTACATTTCCATCAGGGGCATAATTGGAAAATCTATCATCATGGCCTCCGGAATCTCTGCTGTAGCGTCTGAAAGAATCTACAGGGATGTTTTCTCCGTCAGAATAATTCTTGAACCCGTCAAATCCGCCAGCTCTGGTAGTGCCGTAATTGGTGAAGTTCTTGTCATTGTAAGATGCAAAGTTGACATCTTGGCTGTGCTTTTCAAGACTTGGTGACAAATCTGGGGCGCACAGCAGATTTGCTGAAGAGCAAAAGGAGTGAAGCTGTGTGGAGAGTGCATTCTGATCTGCTACAAGCTTTGTGTAAGTTGCATATTGTGCAGCGTTCAATGGTGACGCTTTGTTGAGAAGAAACCATGGCTTTGGCAAGTCATTTGAGACTTGTTTCTTCCAATACCTAATCAGATAACCTTTCGGTGTAAATGGGTTCCCAGATTCACCAGAATTATCTTCATTTCCAGCCACAACAACCTGCATTCACACCCCATTAAGTACATAAAGTTACAATCTTTACACAACAAGGGTACCCCAAATCAAGATTACTTCAAAAACTAAAAGAGATAAGAGTAATAAAGATTAAAGATTGTTACTTACATTGAACAGAAGAACAAGTAACATGCATAAAGAAAGAGTTTTGGTGGTGTGCATTTCTTTAGTGTGAAACAGAGAGAGAAAGGAGGAGGTGAAGAGTAGAATGTTGGTGGGAGGTTTGGTTGGAGGCACAAAATTTATAGTAGAAGGTTCTAAAAGAGTATAGTAGAAAGTAGAGATAGATGATAAATGGAGTGTGGGGTTTGATGTGCTCTTGCCCTTTTGAAGTTTAAACACTATCTGTCAGTATTTTTAGTAGAGGGTTTTGGTTTCTTGATTAATCATGATTTACACTTCCACAAACTTGATTTTCTTCTTTCATTTTTTGGTAATTGAAAGATGGATTATATTAGTAAGCTGAGCTTTTTGCTTTGTTGATCCTCTTTTGCTTATGTCTGCTTTCTGACGTGGAAAACTCATTCCTTTAAAAAAATTTAAGTTGGGTACCTTTTTTAGCTTCACTAGACGCATGACCTGTAATTTGGCTTGTCAGTTTAGCCATCATTGGGGAAATTTTTCAAATTCACTTCACATTGCCACATTACAAGAGTAGTATAAATCCAAGTCTCTAGGAATCAGTAATATTTAAATAACCCTCTTTGAGATTGACAAGAGTCTTCATTTAGACAAGAAGTTTTTGGAGAGAGGGCTAGCCTAAAGATTAGGGGCAATAGTATTTTGGGAACCCTTAACATTAATGACCTTCTTTGAGATTGAGAAGAGTCTTTATTGAGACAACAAAGGCTTAAAGAGAGGACTACCCTAAAGATAAGGGCATTAGCATATTGGGAAACCCATCTAAAGAACCCCATTCCCCTCGCCTCGCAATAAAAGCAGAGTTTTTCTTTTCGAGTTTAAATTCAAGAGAACAGTTCCCTTTTTCTTTTTTTTCTTTTTTTTTGGGCTCTATCACTTAATTTGATAACAAAAAATACAATAAATGATTTAAACACATTGGTAGTGTAGTTTTTTCTGCATTACATTCTATAAGTTGTCCTTAATAATCGAAAAATTTTCAAGGGTTAATGGTACGGATAATTTTTCACTTAAACATCACACTTTTATTTGTAACAAGCTTCAAACCTATGAAATATGCGTAATTCATTCATCACATATTGTACTTTTACCACTAAACTAACCATATATAAGTTAAGTTCTTATTTTTGGGGTGGTGAGGTGGGTAGGGTGGTGAGGCTGCCTTTTGAGGCTAAATTTAGTGACAGATAAGCCATAGAAGCCGCGTAAAAATGTGCACAAGAACCATACTGGTTTTTTGATGGTACGTTTTTTGGTTTCAAATGGGTTGTGAACGCGTCTAGACCTCAAACATTACTACTATTTTGTTTTATGTAATGAATTTTTTCTGCAACTTTTTGTGATCCTCCAGTTCTCACTCACTCTCACCTTCAATAGTAATACTCTCATGTGTGCCATTATATTAATTATTGCTGCTCTCATTATCTCTCTTACCAAACTTTTTCTTTTATTTTAAGTGAAAGATGATAAACTTGCATTTGTACCTCTTGGTCAGGGACAAAAGCCCGTGACAAGGGCAAAGTCTGTAATTCTTCCTGTGGTTTAAGGATTTTCTTGGTATATTTTCTCTTCTTTCTGCTCACTTATCTTTCTTGTGGCCACTAAATTCTCGAACCAGGATTGGTTTTTGCATTATATTTCAATAAAGTTTTTCAATGTATATATTTCCCTTTTTTCCAGCGAGGATATAATAATGATGTATAAATTAATCTCTGTGTGTACGTCATCTGACGAATTCTTGATGTTTTTGTGACTTAAGAGAGCACTAAGAAATGGGCCACCCCTTTATACAAGCGGACTCTGTTTATTTTATTTCATTTTTGTCATTTTTTTATTTAAAAGCATTTGTGATTGATGGATTAATGAGTAAAATGTATAGTGACATCTTAACGGTCTAGTTGTGTTCAAAATTTTCTCAAAAGAATCCTTCATTATCTTTTAGTTTTGGATATTTAAAAATCTAATCTTGTACAATATTCACTAATATAGTCTCTAAAGAGATATCAACAAAAAACAGTTCACCATTCTCATTCTTAATTATGATAATGTTGTTTATAAGTAATTAATTGTATGACAATGCTACAACTAGCATTTGGAATTATTGATTTAGGAAGATGATGCAAAAGTTTATGGAATTATTGTTAATGCAATTCGTATCTCAAGGCCAAGACACTCATCGCAAAAACGGAGGAGTTAAAAATGAGAAAAAGATAACAAACAAAATAATAATCAATATTAAATTTAAAAGTTTTACCCAAAAAAAAAAAATCAAAAGTTGAGTATCTTATTACTTTTGACTACTTTGTAATTTATTGATTTGTATGATTATCAACACCAGTTGAAATTATCATACATGAGACCGTTATTTTAGACCGTTAAATGAGAAAAGAATAATTAAGAGAGTTTCACCGTAAATGTTTAAATTGTTACGTTTTATACTCAAAATCCGATTGAACTAAATCTTACATCCTAGCTAGTAATTAGTAAAGTAGTAATCATCATTATCTTGTGAAGCGGACATGATTAAAAACTTTTTACAACGCCACAATTAAAAAACAACAATCAGTACCCTTAACGCCGGAGCGTTCGACTACGGAAGCGATCCAACTTATTAGGAAGTTGGTTAAAAGTATAGGGAGGAAGAAAGATTTGCACATGGTATTTATTGACCCGGAAAAAGTATATGACAAGATCCCTAGAAAGGTTCTTTGGAGATGCCCGGAGGTAAAATGTGTGTCGGTTGCCTACATTAGGGAGATTAAGGGCATGTACGATGGAGCTAAGACTCGGGTTAGGACCGTGGGAGGAGACTTAGAGTACTTCCCGGTTGTTATGGGTTTACACCAATGATCTGTGCCCAGTCCGTTCTTATTTGCTTTGGTGATGGACGCACTGACACGACATATTTAAGGGGAGGTGCCATGGTGTATGTTGTTCGCTGATGATATAGTTCTAATTGATGAGACGCGAGACGGTGTTAACGAGAGGCTGGAGGTTTGGAGACAGGCCCCCGAGTCTAAGAGTTTCAAATTGAGCAGGACTAAGACAGAATATCTAGAGTGCAAGTTCAACGTTGAGCCGAGCGAAACAAGCTTGGACGTGAGGTTTGGATCACAAGTCATCCCCAAGAGAGACAGTTTCAAGTATCTTGGGTCGGTTATCCAGGGGGATAGGAAGATCGACAAGGATGTCACACACCGTGTAAGGGTGAGGTGGATGAAATGAAGGTTAGCATTTGGAGTCCTGTGTGACAAGAAAGTGACATCGATACTCAAAGATAAGTTTTATAGAGCGATGGTCAGACCGGCCATATTGTATGGAGTAGAGTGTTGGCCAGTTAATAACTCACATATCCAGAAGATGAAAGTAGCAGAGATGAGGATGTTGAGGTGGATATGCGAGCATACTAGGATGGATAAGATTAGGAATGAAGATATTCGGGAGAAGGTGGGTGTGACCCCTGTGGATGATGACAAGATGTGGGAAGCGAGACTTAGATGGTGCGAGCACGTGCGAAGGAGAAGCCCAGATGCCGTGGTTAGGAGGTGTGAGCGATTGGCTTTGGCAGTTTCGAGAAGAGAGAGAGGGCGACTTAAGAAGTATTTGGGAGAGGTGATAAGGCAGGACATGGTGTGGCTTCATATTTCCGAGGACATGGCCCTTGATAGAAAGGTGTGGAGGTCGAGCATTGGGTGGTAAGTTAGGAGGTAGCTGAGCATTTTTCTACTTCGTTCCGGGTGGGAGGCTGGTCTGGTAAGGTTTTCCTAGGCTACTAACGATTATTGTCGTGTCCACACTATTCTTCCATTTTCGTAGTACCGGGCCTTATTAACTGATTTTTGTTATTATTTTTTTTTTATCTATTTCTGGCTCTTATGATGTTGCTATTATTCCTATGGTTCTATTGATGATACTAATATATTGTCTCTTTTTGTTTTCTTGAGCCGAGGGTCTTTCGGAAATAGCCTCCCTGCTCTCCGGGATAGGAGTAAGATCTGCGTACACTCTACCCTCCCTAGACCCCACTTGTGAAAACTCATTGGGATTGTTGTTGTTGTAGTACCTTTAATGAATTATTAGCTAATAGCTATCATGTAGGGACTTAAGATTGTTGTTCAACAGTCTCACTCCTTTGGAGATTGCCTCTGGTTTTGTTGAGAGAATTAGAATGATCCAAGGAACTACTTTTCCTAGACAAATTTTGGAATATAACACTAATTTGGCAAAAATAATTTTTGTACTACCAAGGATTAACGCTTCACCACCTATGTAAATTTTGCGCTATGTTTAATTCTAATTCATATCCAATTTACCAACAAAAAGGTAATATGTAAATACATTAAAATTTATTTACACTCGGTGTTTATATCAATTTATATTAATTTATGATAGTAAATGTTAAAATTAGGTGAGAATGAGTAATTAACTGAAGTTTAGTGATAATAATAGATATATTATGTATTCATTAAGTGGGTGTAAAATGGTGTATTAGGTATGCCGAAAGTCATTTTTCATGGATAGAAATATTTTTTCACTGTTTGATAGGTGAGTAAAAGATAATTTTCAAAAACATATATATATATTAAAAATTAATAATAACAGTAGAACATCAGAGTGTTTTTATGAAAATTTTTGAGTACTAAAGATTAATAATATGTCTCATATTAATAAGGTTAAAACTTAATTAATCAAACGGGCTACTAAGATTCCCTGCCTATTTCTATTATATAGAAGAAAAAAGAGGAGGCTGACCAAGGATATCATGGTCATTTCAAATATATTACTGCACTGTTTACTTGTATACTACGCTCAAAAGCTTGGTTGTGGATTTTTCGTTACGGAAAAAATCAAAACTAATGTAGCCCCAAGCAGTTGAATTCTTCGGGTGGACCCCACTTCCCATTCAACCTTCACTATTTTCTTTAAATGCATTACTTAATTACTGTTATAAATATTTTTTCAATAAGTACTTTTAACTAGGAAATTATTTCTTTGGTAATTTTATAATTCAAGCGTTCATTTGATTAAAAATATACTATGGTAACCTATATTTATATATAACAATTCTATTGTCTCCTTAAGAAACATTATTTCATTTATTTTATTTATTGACTATTTCGGGTAAAGAAGAATTTTTTAAAAAATAAAAAAATTAGCGATAATTTATGTAGATTTATATTTGT